TACAATGAAACCAAGCTGGTTACTGTGAAATTACCAAACTGCCTGCCCAGCGTGGACCCGTTCTTCACTTACCCTGTGGCCGTCAGATGTGACTGTGGGGTTTGCTCTTCTGAAACTACAGAGTGTGAGACGCTTTAAGAATTTCCCAATACCGGATAACTTGCTCTGTTTTTACCTTTTATAAATTGCATAAAAGTAGAACTATGGACAAAATAAAACACATAATATAGTCTGTCAATAGCATTGATACAGCAGTTTTTCTTTTTCTAAGCCCCCCTAACATAGTTTTACTGCCGTAGTTTTATCTGTTACTTTTCACCTTACTTTCACAGGGTGACAAAACTGTTTTGTGCGCAGCGACATTGCACAACATTGTTGTCACCCTGTAGTCTTAGACATGTAGTTTTACATGGGTATTTTTTTCCCCCATCAAGTTCCAGCTATACCAAAATATCACTTTTATATGAACTAAAAACTCCTTTAAAATCCCATGTTTTTCTATTTCTTTATACAAATCTGACAATATAGTGAAGGGCAGCAAAATATTTGTGCTTATAATATAAGGGTCCTACATAAACATCAAATCTGTACCTAGACCTCATCAGCATGTTTTGGCTCACCTCAATTTGGCTTATGCTGACAGGGTTGATTGCACAGTGCATAAGTACATGCAAGTCTGAACTTTACCGACATGCCCATCTATTATAATCAATCCCTATGAATTTGCATCCAGTTGTACAGATCAGCTGCAGTGTCCATAGCCGGCACAGTTTCCTTAGGGCGCAATAAATCCAAATCTTTCAGTGCAGCTCCTTGTGAAGTGCACCAAAGCAAGATTCATGTGGAGCCAAAGGAAATCTCACCGCTCCAATTCCTTAGCCACCATCAGGACTCCCCAGGTGCTGGTCCAATAGGTGCGTCTCCGCCTTAGAATGCAGTAGTATACGAACAGACCGCACTATCCAGAGAATTCCAATACTGCAGACTTTATTAAAATTCACAGCAAATCCAGTACATCAGTGAAAAAGTGTATAAAGCTACAAATGCACTGCACACCCCCAACCAACTACAACCTCTCACATGTTTCACCCGAAGGCTTATTCATAGAGCCTCTATGAATAAGCCTTCGGGTGAAACATGTGAGAGTGCGGTCTGTTCGTATACTGAAGGAAGATTCATGTTGACAGATTGTGTACTTTAGTACAGATACATCATTCACCATCCTATAATACTTCATATAGTATTGCAGTCAAGTGACATAAGCAGGGGGACCCAAGGCGACACCTCCGTTGAGCTTCCTGCACCCTAAAATATTTCCTGGCTGGGTTTCCCTTACTACTTAGTAAGGGGGTGAGAAATAAGGGAGAAACAAACGTCTACTGAAAATGGTCAGGCCAACAGTGACAGCATCCCCATTAGCTGCAGTCACTGTTTGGGTGTCGGCTGTCTGAATACAATAGCCGGCAGGGGAGATTCCTCCATCTACGGTGTTGTAGGACTAGTTTTAGTGAAGGATAAGCCCTCATTCAGATGGGTAACGGCCGGCCCGTACAGATCCGTGCTGCGTGCACTGTCGTATCGGGCAGCTCCCGGGAAGGACAGGTGCTGCAACAGAACCTACGCTCACCGGACCTGCGCGTCCGTGCGGGTGTCCCTGCTTGGACGCAGACAGGATCCATCCTGTCAGCGTACGGGCACCCACACAGACGTTCAGGTTGGGTAAGCGTAGGGGGGCGTGCAGGAGCATACTCCCATAGAGAAGGACAGGCTGCTGCGTACAAATCACATGCAGTACCTGTCCTTCCCCGGAGCTGCCCAATACGGCCGTGCACGCAGCATGGATCTGTACGGGCCGGCCGTTGCCGTGTGAATGAGGGCTAAAGTTAAAACCATTTTTTTTTATTTGTAATTTTGGTTTGGCCTTTTTTCCCCCCCTCAAACCTGAACACCAGGTATGCAGAAATCTGCGTATGTACATTGATCCAGCTTGGTCCAATGTAGGTATGAATATGACATACCTGATTGGATGCTGGGGTACCGTGTGTAGCACTGTTGTAGCTGGAGCTTCCTTCCTAATTGGCCAAATGTAAGGATGCAAAGTAGAGGGAGCTACTACAGCGCTAACCATGATCTTCCTGTCCTGTGTAGCTTCCCCTTTGCTCTGAAAGCATAGGACACCACTCGCTCTGCGCAGCGGACATTCAAAGATCGCCTATTTTTATCTATGAGACAATACACGTTCTCTGGATGATCGCTGTGCTTAACCCAAAGAGAGTTCATCTTTTTACTTAGTATGAATGCTTTATGATTTCAAGCGTTAAAACCACAAAGGAAAAAAATTAATCTGATTAAATTTCCCCTTTTTGTATTTTGCATGTGACAACATAAATTGCTGCGCCACTTTAGGCATTATCACCTCTTCAGGAATCCACCCCCCCTATGTAAGAGTCGAGGGATTTTGCTTTAATGCACGGATGGCCAAACTCCGGCCCTGCATCTGTGGTGAAACTACAAATCCCATGAACCATCTCTCTCTTGTAGTCATGGCAGTGAGAATCTTGCAAAGCCTCATGGGATTCGTAGTCCCACCACAGCTGGAGGGCCGCAGTTTGGCCATCCCTGCTTTAATGCAAACAGTTTACTAGGTGCGCATAGCTTAGGGCCCATTCAAACCTATGTGTGCACATTGCAGCATGCATAGAAATGTATACGCAGAGGTGAGGGGGATCGTATAGATTCCCTTAAAGCCCCCTAGACTGCAGTGCATAGATGTGAAACAGCAGCATAGGAAACAATTGGATTTTTTACTTGAAATGCATTTTCATGCAAAAAAAATGTATATGTTTTACAGCAAGGTGAACAGGCCCTTTGTGAGCTCTTAAATTCCTACTGAATTGAATTCCCCATAGAACATAGATTCCAAATCAGTAATGTCGCTGCTGCTGATCAATATGAAGATGGCCCTAGGGATTCCCTAAAGGCACAATTTGTTTTTCAGACTTCATTTGCTGTATCTGAAATCATGTAGAAACGTACAGGCTTGCACATCTCACTTGGCTTGAAGCAGTACGAGTACAAAACTTTACCTTGGGCAGCCATTTAGGATCTTCGGTATGGCCGTGGTCTCTAGTCAGGAAATTCTGGATATAACACAATGATAAAAATGGGTCAGGAAGATTTTATTTAATTTTT